TCTAGGTTTCCCAATTTGTAGGCATACAGCTCTTTGTAGGAATTCCTGATGAATCTTTTTATTTCTGTGGTATCTGTTATTACATTTCCTTTTACATCTCTTATTTTATTGATTTGGATCTTCTTCACCTTTTTTTTTTTTTTTGCCATGTGTATCAATTTTGTTTATTTCTTTGAAAAACCAGCTCTTTGATTTGTTGATCTTTTGAATTTTTTTGTTTCAATTTTTTTCCTTCTCTAATTTTAATTATTTCTTTTCACCTTCTAATGTTGGTTTTGGTTTGTTGTTGTTTTTCTAGGTCCTTGAAATGCACTTATAGCTCATTTATTTTGTTTTTTTTTTTTTTCAATTTCTTTATGTAAGCACCGATTGCTATAAACTTCCCCTTAACAATGCTTTTGCTGTATTCTATAAATTTGAATATGCTGTGTTGCCATGTTGATTCATTTCCAGAAATTTTTTGATTTCTCTTTTGATTTCTTTTGTGATGCACTATTCATTCAGAAGAACATTTTTCAGTGTCCATGTATTTACATACATCCTAGAGATTCTTGAGTCGTTGATTTCCAGCTTCATTCCATTGTGGTCAGAGAAGATGCGTGGTATGGTTTCAATTTTTATGAGTTTGCTGAGACTTGCTTTACGGCCTAGCCTGTAGTCTATTCTATAGAAGGGTCCACACACTGGTGAGAAAAAATGTGTATACTGCAAGTGTAGGATGAAAAGTTCTGTAGATATCCATTAGATCCATTTGGGTGTACTGTTGATTAACTATTGTTTCCTTGCTGATTTGCTGCGTAGTTGCTTTGTCCATTGCTGAAAGTGGGTTGAAGTCCCCATTACTATTGTATTGGAATCTATGTCTCCCTGTAGATCCATTAACATTTCTTTTAAATAGACAGGTGTCCTGTAATTGGGTGCATATGAATTTATTATAGTCATATCTCCCTGTTGAATTGTTCCCTTATTCATTGCATAGTGTACTTCTTTATCTCTTTTAAAAGTTTTGTGTTAAAGTCTATTTTTGATATTAGGATGGCTACACCAGCTCTTTTATCATTTTCACTAACGTAAAATATCTTTTTCCACGCTTTCACCTACATTCTCTAAATATCTTTGTTGCGAGATATGTTTCTTGTAGGCAGCAAATAGGTGGGTCTTATTTATTAGTCCATTCAACCAGTCTGTATATTTAAAACAAAAAGATTTCTTTATTTATTTGAAAGTCAGAGTTACAGAGAGAGGTAGAGACACAGAGAGAGAGGTCTTCCATCCACTGGTTCACCCCCCAGATGGCCATAATGGCCGGAGCTGCACCAATCCAAAACCAGGAGCCAGGAGCTTCTTCTGAGTCTCCCATACGGGTGCAGGGGCCCAAGGACTTGGGCCATCTTCTACTGCTTTCCCAGGCCACAGCAGAGAGCTGGATTGGAAGAGGAGCAGCTGGCACTAGAACTGGCACCCACATGGGATGCCGGAGCTTCAGGCCAGGGCGTTAACCCACTGTGCCACAACCCTGGACCCCAGTCTGTATCTTTTAACTGGAGAATTGAGGCCATTTACATGTCAATAGGAAACTATTGATAAGTAATGCCTTGGCCCTGCCATTTTTCCATAAGTATTGCCATTGTTTACTTTGGATTTCTTTTCTACTTTTACTGGGAGATTTTCTGCCTTCACCTTCTTTCTTAGTGATGACCATGTTTCTGTGTTTTTGCATGTAGCACATCCGTAAGCATCTTTTGTAAGGCTGGATGGGTGGTGACAAATTCTTTCCATTTCTGTTAGAGGTCTTTATTTCAACTTCACTCGTAAATGAGTTTTGCAGGATAGGGTTTCTAATGAGACGTCAGCTAGGAGCCTAATTAGAGGTCCTCTGAAAGTAATCTGGCATTTTCCTCATGTACATTTTAGCATCTTTTCTTTATATGTTACTGTGGAAGTTTGACTACAAAGTTTCGTGGTGAAGCTCTTTCCTGGCCAAGTCTGTTAGGAGTTCTATGTGCTTCCTATTTTTGTATGTCCCTTTCTTTATCCAAATTGGGGAAGTTTTCTGTAATTATTTCACTAACAGGCCTTCTAACCCATTCTCTCTTTCCACCTTCAGGAACTCCTAAAACCCATATGTTGGGACATTTGATAGTATCCCATAAATCTCCAACACTGTTTTTAAGTTTTCTAATTTCTTCTCTTTTTTTTAATCTGACTGTAAAATTTCCAGAAATTTGTCTTCTAACTTGGTTATTCTCTCTCCTGCCTCGCTGAGTCTGTTGTAAGACTTTGTACCACATTTTTTATTTGCTCTATTGAATTCTTCATTTCTAATATATTTCATTTTAATTTCTCTTTAAAATCTCAATTTCATTCATGTCATGTATGGATTTCTTTAATTAGTGAATTTGCTTCTCATTGCTTCTGAGTAATCCTATGATTAATCGTTTGAATTCCATCTCAGGCATTTCCTCCATCTCTTCATCTTCATGTTCTAATATTGAAGTGTGTATTCCTTTGGGGTATGGCCATGTTTTCTTCTTTTTTTCTTGTTTCTTGCTTTTCTGTGTTTCTTTGTTTGGCATTTGTAGAGATACTTGTGGGTTTTTTTCCTCTGTTTGCTTTTATCTTTGAAATATGCCTCTGTCGCTTAATGGAATGTCTGCTCTTTCAGTAAATACCCAGAGGTGTGTGCTGCATATGGCCAGGGATCTCTGAGCAGTACTCCAGGGTAGAGCAAGCATCGAGGGTGACACCCAAGTTAGGCATAGCAGATGTCCTCTAGTTAACAGAAGGGGAGATATGGTCACCTTTGTTTGTCTTTACACCCTCACCTCTTCCAAGGGGATCGAAGCGCAGATGTTAGCCCTCTGTGTCTTCAGTACTCATCACTGCTACTGTATGGACTGCACAAAGGATCTGTGCAGTCTTCACTGCAAGCCTGGATTCCACTGTAATGACCCACCCCAGGCAATCAGGGAGCTCTGAGCTCGTGGAGCTGCACACAATGATTGCCCAGAGACCCAGCTACATCCTGCATCATCTTGTGCAATCACAGAATCCCCACAATCTCAGCACACAAGGCTCCCACAGTCATGGGGTACAGAGGATCTGCTCTGCCTTGCTATTCTGTCCAGTCCGCAGAGAGGCAGATGTTCCCAGAGCCAACTGCCTGTGGGTGCTCCACCTAGGTGGTTTGAGCCCCAGAGCCTGTGGTATGTTTGGAGGCTGAGGGAGCCTCAAAGTCCTACGTGAGTTCCCAGTCCCCGTCAATCCTCCCAGCCAGACTCAACGTTGGTAGGGTACGTGGATTTTTCCCTCTGCTAGAATGTCTGGGTCACTTGCATACACAAGCCGGTTACACCGGGACTGCTGCCAACAGTACTGCTGAGAAGATGGCATCTTGTCTCAACCAGTTGGTGTGCATGTGTGCAAGGGTTTCTGCTGCTGTCACTTCTGCCCAAAATGGCATCCACCCTCAGCCAGTTGCCAGGCACCATTGTTGGGGGATGGGGTGAGGTAAACGTGCCCTCTTTTTTTACTGGATCAGTAGGCGCCCTCTCCTTCCTAGGCCTCCAGGCTGTGCTCATACCACACTCTCTCTCTCTGGCTGTATCACCAGTGGCTCCGGTTGCCGCCGTCTGAGCTCACCTCAGTCTCCAGAGCTAGTGCCTTCTCTGGCTCTGGGCTGCTGGAGTCACGTGTTGTGTCCATGTTTGTGCTACACATCTGCACCTTGCACATAGATCCACGGTGTTCCTCTTCTTTCCATAGAATTTCCACTGTGGTTTTCTCTCTAACTCTCCCTTGAGAATGTACTTCCTATACTTTATTAATATTATAATGATGATGATGATGATGATGATACATCCCTGGTCAAGTGCAATATGCCATTTCCTATTCTTCCTTCTTAGAATCTTCAATACATCTACTTTTTAACATTTTCATTCATTTCTGTGATAGGATTATGAGATTTTCATAATTTTCATAATTATTTTCATAATTTTCATAATGTGTCTTTATAATTTTCTACAATAAATATGTATTACTTTTATAACCAGAACAGAGGATTTTTAAAGAATTTATGTTTCCAGAATGGCAGCTGTGTTGAGTTCTTCTCTGCACAGTTAAATGGCAGAAAAATGTAAAAGACATAGTCCTAACCCAGCACTCCTGCAGGAACTCAACAGCTAATCAACAGTGCCCAAGACAGGGAGGAGAATCAGACCTCAGGCCACTGACCATCCCTACTGTGCCCCTGTTCAGGGACAGCACTGCCCTGCAAGCACAGAGGTTGTCACAAAGACATTCTGGGGGCAAATTAGAGAAAAGATGCCCCTCTCCCTGAAGGGTCATGACCCGCTCCATGATGCACAGATTGACAGCCGCACATGGACTGGGTTTCAGCCCTGTTTAAATCCTCAGCCAGGAGTCCTACTCTGGCCATATCTTTATCCACCTCAGAGAACTGCCCCACCACCACAAGGCAGGCCTCTCTACCTGAGTGTAAAAGGCAAACAAGCAAAGTTTGAGCTTCTTGTAGCTGTGAGCTCACAAGCACCCCCTGTAACCCAATGTTCCCCACACCTGGTCCAAGGCAGAGATAAGAAATATCACTGTGTCATATGATGGGACACACTGTTATGTGACTGACCCCAAACCAAAGGGCCAGGGAGGAGTAGAGTAAGGGCTTGGGAGGAGCCTCCTGATTGCTGCTCCCGGGTTTTCAGCCTCCGGGCCCAAGCCTGGCCCCGAGGGCCATCCTGGTCCCTCATATCCTCCCCATCATTGCCAAATGCCAACTCAGGCCTCATGTGCATGCCTGTGCCTGTATCTACAGGGCACCCTGACTGTGTCTGTCTGCAGTGTCCCCTTGGCTTTTTGCTGCCTCCATCCAGGGGACAAGTCATCAATGGGCAGGCTGGTCACCGGGCAGAGGGTGACTCTCATTTCTTGAGAATTTACTCTGTGCATGGTGCATCATGTGCCTCTCACATTTGTGTCCCTAGGCTCATCCTCAGCAGGCACCATTGGTCCTAATTTGCCAGTGAGAAACCTGAGACTCAGGAAAAGCAATGAGGTTCCCAAGATCACACAGACAGGATGGAAGCATCAGGGTTGGGACTCAAATCTCATCAGGTGAGCCCTTCATGCCCCTTCATGTCGGTTTCACAGGGTGAAGAAGAAATGCAGACACAACACTGGGTTAGGAAACCACATAGTTTATTTTATTTACGAGTCATGTGTGATAATTCAAGAGCAAGCCTAGGAAGAGAAATCCAGCTGGCTGTGTGTTCCTGCAAGCAGGGATCCCTCTGTTACTCCAGGCCTGGGTTCTCAGGTGAGGGAGATAGATGGGCATGCACTGCATCTCAGCAGAGGAGTGACCCTTGGGCAACACAGCACCCTTGCCCTATCTGCAGGAAGAGCTCCCCCACCTCCTGCCATGCAGACATGGGCCACTGAGGTACCCAAGACCTGGTTGAATCCAGACGCTGCAGTTGTCCCAGCAGGCAAGGCTCACAGAGGGAGGGGTCCCTGTTGGGGACAGTAAACAATGCCTGCCAACCCAGCAAGGCAAGAGGAAGGCCAGCTACAGCTTCATGATGGCCCTTGGATTCTCTCCCAGCACTACTGGCTGTCCTGCATGCACTGGGTGAGAATCTGCCACCAACAGGGCAGCCTAGATCTACCAAGAGACAGTAAAGGAAAGGGGTAGGGCAGGAGAAGGGAGCAGGTGTTTACTTTATCCCTTTCATCTTCCCACCACCCCGGTAAGAAAGCATTAACACAGCCCATTTTCCAGAAGAGGTTGTTGCCCTGAGCTGGGAGGACTCTTGCTAGAGGGCAGATGGCTAGAGAGAACTACATTTAAATACAGGTGGTGGTGGGACTCCCATTTCTCACTGTTCCATGGCTCCACTCCAAAAGGAGGTGTCTGGAGCCAACATTGTAACACAGCAGGTTAAGCCACTGTCTGTGACACCAATATCCCATATGAGCACCAGTTCAAGTTTCAGCTGCTCCACTGCCAGTCCAGCTCCCTGCTAATGTGCCTGGGAAGGCAGCAGAAGATGGCCTGAGTACTTGGGCTCCTGCCACCCACATAGGAGACCTGGATGGAGTTCCAGGCTCCTGGCTTTGGCCTGGTGCAGCCCTGGTTGTTGTGGGCATTTGGAGAGTAAACCAGCAGATAGGAGGTTCTTTCTCTCTCTCCCTCGCTCTCTTCTTACATTGAAATATACATTTTTTAAATTTTATTTTTATTTATTTGATGTACAGAATTACATAGATAGAGAGAAAGAGAGGTCTTCCATCTGCTGGTTCACTCCCCAATTGGCCACAATGGCCGGAACTGCGCCAATCCAAAGCCAGGAACCAGGAGCTTCTTCCAGGTCTCCCACATGGGTGCAGGGGCCCAAGGACTTGGGCCATCTTCCATTGCTTTCCTAGGACATAGCAGAGGGCTGGATCAGAAGAGGAGCAGCCTGGACTTGAACCAGAACCCATCTGGGATGCTGATGCAACAGGCGGAAGCTTAGCCTACAATGCCATAGTGCCAGCCCCCGCCAAGGATTAATAAGCTCATGTCTGCAGCTGAGGAATGAGGCAAGGAGCATTACAGGATTTTCCTGGTTCAGAGAGGCTGTCCTGCTCCCCTGCAGGCCCAGCCTTGGCAGCAACACCTCAGTAACCCAGCCCCATAACCTCCAGTGCTTCCACATGCACCCAGGTGGCTATTCCCCCATGACCCTGGATCCTCTCACTTGAGGTTCTGAAAGTCAATGTCAAGTCCATTTTTAGGAGCATGTGGGTTCCAGTTGCAGTAATGCTGAATCTCTGAGGACTTGGCCAGAGCAGTCAAATCAATGTGAACTTCACTTGAAAAACTGTGAGTGCCTAACAGACTGCACGCACTGCACCACCCTGTGAGCTCCCAGGGGTGCTGGGGCAGCATTCGGAGCCCTGTGCCCAGCTCTGGAAGCCAGAACAAGGCTCAGTTCTCTCCTCTCCTGGGGAAGCAGTGATTCCCCAAGGGGAGCTCCCCACCAGCCTGATTGCTGTGACTGTTGTAGTAAATCCCACAACAATCCTACTAAGCAGGTGCTGTTATTATGTCCACTTTGCAGATGGGGAAATTTAGACAGGGACCAAGTAACTTGCCCAAGGATTTCAGGTAACCAGGACTGTGCTGCTGGGCGGTCAGCCTGTTAGCCCTACTTCTAGGCTACGGCGCCTCCTTGAGCCCTTTGAACTGGGCCAACTGAGGCTGAGGGAGCTCCTGGCTGCTGGATATCACACAACTAGGCAGTGGCAAGGCTGGACTCAGGACCTGTGATTCCTTTAGGAGGAATATCTGGAGTGTATAAAGGGACAGTGAGGGGCACTTAACAACACAGACCTGGCCAAGAACACGGCGCCCCATTTGTAAGCTCTAAGCACCGCCACTGTCTAGGAAGCCAGCACTGCCAAGGGCCCAGGTCAGCTCATAGCCAGCACACTTCAGCTCAGTGTAGAAGGGGGCACTTTGCAGAAGCAGGTCCTGTCAGCATTGGGCCTTACTGCAGGGAAGTAGAGGATGTTAAGAGCTGCTTGCATCCCTCCAAAATAAAGCATGGGTTAATAAAGATTCATTTAGGGGAAATTACAGCAAAAAAAAAGAAAGAAAACTTGAAGACCAGCTGGGCCTGCAGAAATGCATTTTCATGTCTCCTGGCAAATGCGCACTGATCTCTTCTCCTAAGTTTGCAACTGATACGGCCAGTTTCTAAAGTCGAGAAAAAACAATTTTATTATAGCTGTTAAGTTCCCATGGAAACCAGCTAGGACCCAGAGGAATGGGGAACTGAAGGATAAGGCGATTTACAGAGAATTAGGGGAGTTTGCTGAAGTCCCAGGCAGGAATCCCTTAAAAAAAAAAATGTGCCCTACAGTCAGCTGCATTCGAAAGCAAAGCAATCACTCAAAAGTGTCCTGCAAATAACGCGCTGATGTCTTCTGGCCGCGGACTTCCGTGCGCATGCGCGCCAACTCGCCCGCTAGACGCGCAGGAGCGCGCATGCGTTTACCGGCGTTGCTTGGTGACAGTCGTTGTGCGCTGAGACTGAGGAATCGTTGGATTTTTCTGCTGGGAACGTTGAAGCGAAACGGAGGGCTCGGCCATGAAGGTTTTACCTTCCCATTCAAGAAGCGCGAGTGTCTCCTGATCTGTCCCCTCCGGCGTGAGGATGGCAGACGGGACTCGGGCCCTGCCCGGGAACCGCTTCCCTCACAAGGGTCTCGGGAAGCCGCGCGAAGCTGCCCGTGAGGGTGAGGGAGCCGGAGGGCAGCAGCTCGTGCTGCTCCGGAAAAGTGGCGGGAACTGTGGGGAGCAGGACAGGTACAGGGAAGGCGCTTTCTCTCTCCCAGGTCGCTCCCTGCCGTGGTTTGCTTTTAATGGGCGCATTTTATTGTATATACTGTATATATATTATGGAAAATGTCTCCTGAGAGAAATAGTTTCCCTTATATGTCAACTCCAGAGCCAGTAATTCTTTTGGCAAAATCCAATATCCGTTTCATATTAGTGCACATTTATGTATACACATTCTTTAATGAGGGAACTTAAATGGGAATGTGGAGAGGGACGATGGCTGTATTTTACTGAGATCTGCTTTTGTCACAATGTGAGCTCTTTATATGTTTATCTGTTTTACATAAACAAAGTAGATATAACAGGGTTATAAGTTTTTTTGTTACCCATGCCGCCTTTCAACTACTCTTGTGATATTAGTTCGCAGTGCCTTAAAAACAAAGACATGCTAAAAATTGTGCTACCAGTTTTCATAAGGTAATCATTTACTATCGGTTGAAAAGACAAATGAATGGAACTTAAATCCAGAAACTCCAAAGTATATGTAAGAATTTAGAACTTGATACTGGTTATATTTCATATTAGGAAAAGATGGGGGCTGGCGCTGTGGCATACCCACCTTCTGCAGTGCCGGCATCACATATGGGCACACTGGTTCCAGTCCTGGCTGCTTCACTTCCCATCCAGTTCTCTGCTATGGCCTAGGAAAGCAGTAGAAGGTGCCCCAAGTCTTTGAGCCTCTGCACCTGTGTGGGAGACCAAGAAAAAGCTCCTGGCTCCTGGCTTCGGATCAGCCCAGCTCCAGCTATTGTGGTGATTTGGGGGAGTGAACCAGTGGATGGAAGCTCTCTCTCTCTCTCTCTCTCTCTTTTTTTCTCCCTACTTCTGCCTTTCAAATAATAAATCTTTTTAAAAAACAGGAAAAGATGAATTATTTATAACTGAAATGTATGTTGACTAGGGAAAACTAGCTAGGTTTTAATGTCATAAACCCAAGTTGCTATTGTAATAAAAAAAAAAAACTTAAAATATGCAACATGGGAAAAGTACCAGGAGAAAATACAAATTCTTATCAATAATTTTTTTGTTGAAAAAGAAGTTACTAAGGGCCGGCGCCGCGGCTCACTAGGCTAACCCTCCACCTTGCGATGCCGGCACACCGTGTTCTAGTCCCAGTTGCCCCTCTTCCAGGCCAGCTCTCTGCTGTGGCCCGGGAGTGCAGTGGAGGATGGCCCAAGTACTTGGGCCCTGCACCCCATGGGAGACCAGGAGAAGTACCTGGCTCCTGCCATGGGATCAGCGCAGTGCACCGGCCGCAGCGCACCGGCCACGGTGGCCATTGGAGGGTGAACCAACGGCAAAGGAAGACCTTTCTCGCTGTCTTTCTCTCTCACTGTCCACTCTGCCTGTCAAAAAAATAAAAATAAATAAAAATAAAAAAAAGAAGTTACTAAGAATTAACTCAAAAGTATTCTGAAGGTTTGATTTATCAAAGTAACAATCAAAACCTCCTGGACTGGGTGTTAAGTTTAGCAGCCAAGATGCTTCTTTGAATGGCCACATCATAGGAGTGCTGAGGCTGATTTTGGTGCCACCTCATCTTCTGCCTTCATGCTAATGAGCAGCTAGGGAAACACCAATAATGATTCAAGTACAGTATCCCTGCCATCCATGTCAGAGATCCATACTGACTCCTATGCTCCTGACGTTGGCCTGGGCCAGCACAGCTGTTGTAGACACTTGAGGAGTGAACCAGTAGGTGGAAGATCTTTCTCTCTCTCCTCCT